TATGGGAATAAAGACTTCGGAATATGTTTCACGTATTTCTATATAAATCATTACAACTATTATCTCATTGACGACGACTTCGTTGAGTTTAATATTAGATATGAAACTTTAATAAATATTTTATATAATGCATTATTTGAGTCTAACTTTAAAGCTAATTTTGAAATATATAATGAAGACTTCTTTGACTTATATATGTTTGTGAATCCAATGACCACTTCATTGATGGCATCGAAGGAGACATCGATTCATACGAAGAGAATTGGATTGAATGCAAGACTGAAGATAACGACAACTCATTTGCGTCTCATTTCCACGCCTTATATGAATGAATGCAAAGAAAATGGTATTTTTATATTTTTAACTAACATTATAATTAGATTTTATAAATATTTATATGAATATATTATATTTTAAAATAGATTATAATCCAAATGACTGTTTTACACAATGTGTTGAAAGCCTTTACAACAATTCATTTGAATGTTTACCCAATCCTTACATCAATGAAGAGTTTATTCTTATGAATGCGAGTCAAACACAACATAGTATTTTCATTTAAAAATTCTGTTACTTTATCTGTAGTATAATATTTTATTATATTTTTTATGTAGCTATTAGTTGTGTTATATTTTGGCAAACACAGTATAGAATATGTGGTAATAATAGTACAGAATATTCTGTTAATACAAACTATTGTAAAGAGAAATGCATTAAGAAATGTCACCAAAAATACTATTCATTAGAATTGGAAGACAATGAATATTCGGCACAAAATGACAACAAAATCAGAATTGAATATAAAATACGTCAAGAATTTCACTACAATTCTGATAAAAAGTATTCATTCGTTGACTTCTTGTCAAACATCGGAGGACTCATTGGTTTGTGGTTTGGGATGTCTTTCATAGATACCAGTGCTTAGACTCGTATTAAATCATATTAACAGATTATTACAGATGTTTTATCAAATTAAAATAATAAATTCATTTTGGAATTTTATTAGGAATATAAATAAATTTATTGGAAATCTATTGAATTACAATTGGAAAAGAATTATCAAATTTGCAACAATTCCTATAGTTTTTGTGCAGGTTTATTTACAAGTATATGAATACTTGAAATTTCCAACACAAACTTCAATACAAACTATTGAATACCAAAACATAACAAACAATAACCGGATTTCTCTGCAATCGATTCCTGCAATCACTTTATGTTATGGAAACACATTTGAAAACATTTTGTTTGAACCTAATATTAGGCGATATTTTGAAAATGTTTTTAAATCTACAAAAAATAAAACAAATTTTCATAGTTTGCCAAAATATAACACAACTAATAGCTACATAAAAAATATAATAAAATATTATACTACAGATAAAGTAACAGAATTTTTAAATGAAAATACTATGAAACATAAGTCAGAAAGTAAAGCATCAAGAGAGGATTATTTAAATTATAAAGAGATTATTATCGATAGAGATCAATATATTGAGTATATTTATAAATACCTCGACGTAAACACACGACAAGAGTTTACGGATAATTTGCGCGAAATAAATGAGAATATTGTGAATGACTTTCATAAGGAAATGGATGTTTATTCGAGTCTTATATACTGTGATATCGATAATCAATACAAATGTCACGAATTGAGACCAACGCTCAGAATATTATCCCCTTTTGGCAAATGTAACACTTTTTTGTCGGGTTTCCCTTCAAATGATCCAAACTTTGATAAAAATTATAGATTACCCTTTTATCGTAGTTTTAATTTAAAGGATTTTGCATTCAAACATAGTGTTAATTTTTACGAAATTGACGGAGATGATAGTATAGATATATTTAAAAAGTCATTTATAATCCATTCAACAAATTCATTGCCAATACAATCAGATAATGTGATTGAATTCAAAGACAATTCAGACAATTATATGAAATCCATTCAAATAAATCGATATGATTTGAAACGATTACCGAAACCATACGACACTGAATGCTATGAATATCCGGCAAATGAAACACAATTTCATTGTTTAAACAAATGCTACGAAAAGTCATATCAGAATCACTTCCAATGTATTCCCAAATATAACAGTTTACTAACCATTAGCTCATTTGAAAATATAACACTTTGCTCATATCTTAACAAAACCTATTTAAATCATTTTAATTTGAACATTGCTAAGGTGTGCAAAATTAGGTGTCCCATCTCATGTCTGGAAAATTTATTTATAAATACAGTAGCTGATTTAAAATATACTAATAGTGGTTTGTCACCTAAATCTATGCTCGGTATGCCTCATTACACCGAATATAAATTTACGTTCAATGATATATTTTATATCCAGGTTATTTTCTCTCCGAAATATACATTCATAGAACTAGTCATAAGTATCGCCAATATATTGAGTCTATGGCATGGAATCAATTTCATTGGTTTACTCACAGTAATGGTCTCATTAATTGATCAAAAATTCAAGTTATATTTTATAAAATTACAATATTTGTTAACAAAATATCATTGCAAAATTAATATATTATTTCATAACGATTTGTATATTAAGCGTATGTTCACAGCAATATTGACGGCAATACTTATACACCAATTATACTCAATATCTATGCATTACTTCAGTTATGAATCTGTTATCACAATCGATGCTAAAACTTATGAAAGCGATCATAACTACCCGTTTGTATCAATTGTATTCAATATAAGAAATAGCAAGTTTTCAATAGCAAACTATTTATTTAAACCTATTAATTCGTTAAAGTTTAATACAACCAAGGAACTAATGTTTTTCAAACCAGTATATGATTTACATTTAAATAAGTTTTCCTTAAGTGGAGATTATCTGGATTTATCAAAATCATTGGACAGTTTTTATATGAGTAAAGGCAGAGAACTTGTACTGAGAACATGGCATATGAATGAATCACTTATTTTTAGACATACCAAGGTGTTTTTACAAATTAAACAACAAAGTATGCACAATCGTAACCTGCAGAATATTCAACTCCATTCTCAGCCATATCCCCACTTTCATGAAGTAATAAATGTTGATTATCAATTTGGTGGCTTTAATCACACCATAATTGTGAGTAAAACAGTGAAAACATATTTACCTAAACCTCACGGAAACTGTAGTTATTATGACGGGAGTACTGGTGAACAACCATTCGGTTCCTCATCTCATACACAGTGTATGAGACGTTGTGTCCGATATTATCACCAAAAAGAAAGTAGTGATAAGTGTTATCCACTTTTTATTGACAATTATATGCATGAATTAGATTTTGATACAAATTCATCTAAACTTTATTGTCATGAACAATATAGAAACAAGGACCACACATTTAACAGTTACATTTATATAATTCAAACAAAATGCTTGAAATACTGTCCAAAGGACTGTTTTATTGTTGAATATAAGTCAAGAATTATATCAAGTGATACACAAATTGGTAACCATGATTGGTTTAAAAAATATTATTTTGAAAGGGTTTCTATGAATTCATTTGTGTGGGACTCAACACAGCCCCTGTATGTCTATCGGGAGGAACCGGTTATGTCTTTAACAGACTATATGTCATATACTGGAGGACTGTTTGGTCTATGGTTTGGCACAAATGGCAAAGACTTTATCATTTGGTTAACACTGAGAATCCGTTTGCTATGGATTTGGTTTACAATGAAATACAATCAATATTTCACTCAAACTAAAGTATATGTTATTACAAATTAATGTTGAAATACATAATAAAAGAAAGCATTTTATTTGATGATTAATTTTAAATACGGATCTAGATCAGAATTACTATATCGGACTCATATGAACTGAACAATTAAAATAAAATAGATTTTTTAAATTATTACAATTTAATTAAGTAACATATTTAATTATCCTGTTTTATTATTTACAATTAATGGTGTAATTATTTTTTAAACTGTATAAATAATACATTTAATTGATTTCAGAATTAATTAGTAATATAAAATTTCCATATGTTGTCAAATAAATATAAACAATTATATCATTCAACACGATTTTTTATTAATAACCTGTTTAGATAAATTATTATATCTTGATTCATTATAAATTCTGTAAACTTAGTTAAGTGGTTTTAAATTTAATTATTCGGAAAATGAGCATACTATTGGTATGTATTGTAGTTGTCGTGATGAGATACTTGCTATAATTTTGAGTTTGATTAGTTTGCATGACTACTGTGTGTCCCCAATAAGACGGACACATCTATTGTGGATAAAGTGGTTGAATGTAATCATAACGAAACCAAATCAACCGAAATGATTGCATTGGAAAACAAAGTTTGTTAACATATTTACTGTCATTTTTAGTGAATACGTATTTCAATAAATTTCATATTTTTAGTCCAAAGAATTTTTGAAAGATTGCTTTAAGAAATCCGATGTGAGCGCCTACACCAAAGTGGACCTGGCTAATGATGAACGCAAGCTTATGTTAATAGGGTATTGCGATCACAAATATAGGGTATAGATTGTGGTGTACAAGAGTATAAGAATAAACAAGCTTTAAGAGATAACTATGAACAGTTAAGCAAGTTGGAAAACAAAACTGAGCAGGAGATATATCATGTATGTAATTTTATTTATTTGTTATATTGATACACAAACTAGTATAATACTATGTATTCATATAATTTTCTATATTTACAGACGTGTCTTATGAATATTTTCAAGAAGTAAGATCAATGATAATTAACCTGAACAAACAATTTTAAAATTTACAGTTATACACTTATTTAATATGTTTTAATTAAAACTTAAAAATTAATTGTCTATCAATAATAATAATTTGAAATGATTAAATTTTTAAATATGATCATAGAAATATTATGCAAAATTAATATTTGTAAAATTTATTTTGTAAAATAATTAGTAATATCCAACACAAACAAGATTACCGTAAATATTAATAACAATTAAAAACTACAAATATTCAGCGATAAAATTAAACTCAATAATCTTATTACTCTTGAAGGCACTGCTTTCTGTTTTATAAATATATCCTGATCATTTGCTGACATTAACTTTTGAAAATATTTCTGAAATTCCTTGAATCCCACACATTAGCACTACATTATAAGTAAACTCCGATTGCGCCATACAATTGGCATTACATTTCGATATAACAATACTGTAGTATGATTGCTTAATAAATATTTAAATAAAAAAGCTTATTGCTTTTTATTAAAAAACAAATATAACTATAATCATATAATATAATTAAATGTATTGTAAGTATTATATTATTTATACAGGTTTTTCATTTAACAAGAAATTTTTTTACAGTAATATAATAATCATTGTCAAAGCTTGCATATTGCACAAAATCAAATATAATTTTTTATATCAATATTCTAAATATTCATTTCAAAAGTTTTAATTATTATTTTCTAATTATCAATTTATTATAAATACTAAACAGTTTCAATTAATCTAGTAATTTATTTATAATTTTTATAAATTACGTCTATAGAAATTTTTAAAATACGGATCTAGACTCAGATGTGTCCAGACATTATTTATTTATGCTTTTTACAGGTAAACAATTTTAGAGTCAATTCTAATTAATGTTATATTATTTGACAATTTTTATAATCCCTTTCATTATAAGCAATTAGTAATCCCTACTCATACATGTGTTATGGTATTTGTGATT